TATGTTGCTGGTTTTGGTGGAAGGCCCCTCACCCATGTATCCCTCTCTCTATAGGCCTTTCTCACCCTACACTCACCCTCTGTCAATACCCAATCAATAGGCTCGGCACCTGTAGCACAGTGGTTACAGCACCAGCCACATACACTGAGGGTGGCAGGTTCAAATCTGGCCATGGGCAGTTAAACAACAGCTAAAAACTACAACAACAGCAACAACAAAAATGGCCAGGCATTTTGGGGGTCACCTGTAGTCCTAGCTACTTGGGAGGCTGAGGTAAGAGAATTGTTTAAGCCCAAGAGTTGGAAGTTGCTATGAGCTGTGATGCCACAGCACTCTACCAAGGGCAGTGTAGTGAGACTCTCTCTCAAAAAAAAAAAAACACAACACCCAATCAATAAACACTTATTAAGCACTGACTTTGCTCTGACAAGTTGTGCTACATGCTTGGGGATACAATGAGGAACAATGTAGACACACCCCAATTTCACAAAATTACCCTCCCTGTACATTCAGACACTGACATATCCATACAGTCATTTCACAAGACAGTTTCCCCAATAGCAATCATGTTGACCATAACTGCTAATTAGGGAATACTCAGCATATGCCAGGAAATTTACGTACGTCTTCTTATTTCATCCTCAAAACAGTCATCAAGGTAGGCATTATGATTCCCATTTTCCAGATGGAAAAACTGTGGCTCCGAAGTCAAATCATTTGTTTGGTGTCATATGGCTAATAATTAGCAGAGCCAGAACTTGCACTTGTCTCTCATTTTCAACCTCTCCCCCTGCCTTTCATTGGATTCAAGGGTTTCCCCTTGGACAAAAGCTCCCAGCAGGTTGGGGTGGGGGTCTAGGTCACCTCCATGTCTTCAGCACTTTTGTTAAAGGAAAGAATTCCCCCCCAGACACATTCTCAAAGGAATGCAAAGAAACAGACACACACTGAAACACAAAAACATAAGTAGCATGCAACGAACTGGATGAGAACTTGGCAGTCATGTACTCAATCTACCATGTACTAGCTGTGTACCTCGGTGTCACAGTTGCAGATTGTGGCAGGGGTGTTGTGATTGCTAAATTAGAGCTATATGTGAAGTGCTTAGGCTTGTGAGGGCACATGACATGGCCACTCTGCAGTAAGAATTGGCCATGAATCACTATGAATAGCATTTACCCACACCCACTCACATGTGCCCGTATGCCCGTGCAGACCATCCTCCCACCCCTCCTTTAGCCTAGCTTAGCCGCAGATGCCCTCATGGCCCCCAGAGCCAGGAGGAAAGAGCAGCTGCTTCTTTGCAATTCTCTGGGCTGTACCTGGGCCAACCCAGGTGAGCTCCTCACCAGCTCCAGATTCCATCAGAGAAGGCTTCCTGGAAGACGCCTCCACCCAAACTGGGTAAGGGAGCCAAGCAGAGGCAGAAGGGTGCTGCTCTGTGCCTTGGCTCTCTCCATGGCTCCTCACAGCACCCCTTAACCTCTGCTAAAGTACCCTCCCTCCACTCCCTTTCTCACAGTAGAAACTTTCCTCTCTCCTCATGCCAGAGTATAAATTGCCCCCAGGAATGCACTGAGTCCCACTGCTCCCCTGGCAATGGCCTGCGGCTGTCCTAGGGTCAGGCCTGGCCCTACATCAAAGGCTGGGGATTGGTAATAGCAGGGCTCCTTGCCTGCCACCACACTCCGCTCCATCCTTCTCCCCTCCCACCAGCCCTTTGGCTTCCAGGGACCAGCACATGGTAGCACTTAAGCTCTGGAGGATGCCTTCCTGCACCCCCACCCCCTACCAGCCACAATGAACTACTTGTTAGGAGACTATTTTAATTTTACTTAATGCAATTTCTGCTCCTGGGGCCTCTGTTGCCACCCACTTCTTGGACACAGATACCCAGTACAAATGTAAGGGATGCCAACCCCCTAGGAGAAGGTATAACCTGAATATGGAAATTTCACTGGTGTTGAGGGGGGTCTCAGGCAGGAAGAAGTCTCTGTTACATCAGGGGAATGGGCTGATGCTCTGTAACCCACTCAGGAAGTAAGGGGCGTTGGATGGAGAGGGCTCAGAGCTAGCTTGTACTGTGCAGGCGTCCAGCACGAGAGTTTGGAGTATGTATGGGGCCGGATATCCTTGGCTAGTGCGTTCTTCCAGTGCCCTGGGTTCAGTACGGCACACTTAGCCTGGAAGCCCTGTGAGCTTTGATTTTAGGTCCCATAGAGGTGACTTAAGGAGGGGAGCATTTCCAGGCTCTGATCAACCTGTGACAATTTGCTCCATCAGGTGCATCTTCTAGCAAATTCTGAAAACTAGGGGGCCAATGGTCACTCTGCAGAACAGCACGGTGGTGATCTGGAGACCTCTAGTGGCCAAAGGCTGCAGGGTTATTTTCCTTAATGTTCCACCCAGCCAGCCCAAGGCCCAAAAGACACCAGCATGGACTCCTCCAGCCCCAGAACTCTGCCATGAGCCAGGCTCCATGGAAACCTTTCTCATCTGTCAGCCTTGCCCATATAGCCAGGCACCTCTACCCCATCTTGCTGGGAGGGACTGGTATCTCCTGGGTGTCTCAGCCTCAAAGTCACAGCAAGTCAATTACCTAGAGAAGTCCGGGGGCAGGAAGTTAGGTTGCTGGGGCTGTTGTATGTTTGGCTCATTTGGGAAGGATGATGAGGTGCCATTCCAAATTGCTCTGCAGCCCCCAGCCCTTTCCCTTCTCTCTGTATCACCCAATCCTGGGCTGTCACTGAGAGGGCTTTGTTTCCACAGCTCGCTAACCCTGTCATGTTGCCCAAGCTTAACTCTGGGAGAGGAAATATCCAAAACCTCACTCCATATAAACTGCTGCTGGAAAGTAGGTTGTGGTACAGGGAGGAGAGGAAAGGCGAGGGCCCCCCTGGAGAAGGGAAAGGGTGGTGCAGCTTTTCTTTTTGGCTGGCTCCAGACACTACACAAACCTTTCCACATCTGGTCCTCAACATTCATTCCCTTAACCTTTTTCATTCATTCACTCAGACTCTGGTATGACAGGACCCGGCCCTACCCTGGGTGCTAAGGATACAACTGACCAAAACGGGGTGCTTGCCTTTGGACTCTGGAGGGGAGAGGTAAAAAGGCTCAGAGAAGAATGGGCTCCCAAAGCAGGGTTGAACCTCCCTGTGCTTGGGGACACAAATGACACACCAGCCCTTCTCTTAGTGGCTTAACCCAGCTAGAAGAGGCAAATCTCGTGCAACCTGCCCCCTCCTACCCCATGGGTCTCAGAACCCTGGTCCTACCCTTCAACACACATCAAACCCAATCATCTATAACTGGTTCCCCTCATCTCAGGGCTGCTCCCTAACCTGGGGAAGGCCTGGGACCCCGTTTCCCTCCAACTCCCTCAGTGTCTGGACAAGGCTGTCCCCAGGAACAATGCTACCAAATAGAGCCCGATAAGACCCTGACTCTGCCCTTAAAAAGCTATCCCAAGCTCTATAAGACTAGGAAAGGGGGGCCTGAAGTGGATGGAGGGTGGGATGGAGGCGACCTTGGAGGACACAATGAAGAATCCATCCATTGTTGGAGTGCTGTGCACAGATTCACAAGGACTTAATCTGGGCTGCCATGGGACCCTGTCAGATGAACATGCTGAAGTGGTATCTGTTCTAGCCCAGCAAGCAGCTAAGTAAGCCTCTGACCCCACTGACATTCCCGTGGTGTGCCTAGAATCAGATAATGGGAACATTATGATCTGAAAACATGATGGCATCACAGTGGCGGTGCATAAAATGGCCTTTTGACATCCCATACCAGTTCTCTAGTGGCCTTTCACAGGGACTCAATGCTATGTTGATGACCTTATAGAATTACTAAAGTTCCAGCAGTTAGGCTATTCATTTAATGGACATTGGACACTTCTCTATTTATTTTAAAGTAAGTTGTTTCTTTTTTTTTTTTGAGACAGAGCCTCAAGCTGTCCCCCTGGGTAGAGTGCCGTGGCATCACAGCTCACAGCGACCTCCAACTCCTGGGCTCAAGGAAGTCTCCTGCCTCCGCCTCCCAAGTAGCTGGGACCACAGGTGCCCGCCACAATGCCCAGCTATTTTTTGGTTGCAGCCGTCATTGTTGTTTGGCAGGCCTGGGCTGGATTCGAACCTGCCACCTTAAGTGTATGTGGCTGGCGCCTTAGCCACTTGAGCCACAGGTGTTGAGCCAATAAGTTGCTTCTTAATACTCTATGGACTGACCTATCAAGATATTAAATATGAATAAGGATCATGGTTTTTTTGTTTGTTTTTGCAGTTTTGGCCAGGGCTGGGTTTGAACCCACCACCTCTAGCATATGGGGCCAGCGCCCTACCCCTTTGAGCCAAAGGCACTGCCTGAAAGGATCGTATTTTTAAGCAGCAGGTCCAGATCACTTTGTATATAGAATTTTGTTATGTTTAATAAATCTGTCTGGAAGAAAAAAAAAAAA